TGGAATTGAAACTTGGTTCTCCAATTAACTATTCTGAGCTATTATCCATTACACCATCTGCACATCCAAACTTACAGAACCTTGTATTCCCAAGTGGTCATTAATCTAGTTACTGACTGGGTTTAATGTTGCTTAACTTTAGTAATAGTATGGGAACCAGTTTTTCAATGCAATATGGCCAGAAGCCATATTAATAGAATGTTAGGCACCTCGGCATGGTGTAATGGTTAACAAACTTGTCTCACTAAAACAGTTGAATAGTGAGTTCGATCCTCACTGGGTACCCCCTACTTTCGGCCCTGTGCCACATCTAAGCTACACTTGGAAAATCACTATTAATAGAATGTTGAGGAAGGGTGGGGTGTTTATTTCATTCTCTTTTGTGAATTCAATGGTTGGTTCTACATTGTTGAGTCTCTTTATCATCAAATTCACACACGGGCATGAAATAAACAACACCCTACCCTTCTATGGGTTAATTAGTAAAATTTATATCAATAAAACATTATCTTCTCCCAAAAATTCTTATCTAAAAATATTTTCTGGCTTTAAATAACCTACAAAAGATTGATAAGCCATAGAAAATGAATAAATCAATGAATCTATAAATACGAAACAAGAACAAATTAGATTTTAGTTTACCGCAAACCCACAAATAAAAATGATTTTAATCATTTACTATTCCTACCACAGTAAAAAAATAAAATAAGAAAATACTATAATAGATGGAAGGCGCACAATGATGTCATTCAATAGAACAAGTTTTTGGAGTAACCATCATTCACACACACACACACACACACACACACACAAATTTAACACAGGTCAACACAAAGCAGCAATAGTCTGTTTCATGCTTAAACACAATCTTCAGGTCTTAATTACTTTTCTATTTATATATGTTCTATTCCTGATATTGAGCATTTTATTCATAAATATAGCATATCTTAGAACTGTATCTTTATCGTATATAGCCACTTGTTGTGGAGGCACAGTGAAATAATGGATTTTGGCTCTGATTGGAGAATTGGAGAGCAGAATTCAAATTCTAGTTGAGTTCATTACATTCACTTATGTGCTAATAGTTTTTGGAAAGGTATGAATCCATCTCTTCTACCCCCAACTATGGGTAAATAGAAGGACAGGCTGGGTTCTATAGCCTTGGGTGGCAACTGGTCTAGGAGAAAGAAAATTGAATTCAAAACTGTATGTTACCCTGGTGAAGCACATACTATGCAGCTAAGGAAATGACTGTTTGCATTAGCAACAGTGATCCTGACTAAAGTCAATTCCTTACTGTGATCACTTTGAAAAACAGTGGCTGGTAATATTTGTAATGATTTACATTTATTACTATTGTTGTGATGTGGGGTCTGGCAAGATAACATTTAACTCGACAGTCACCCATGACTGTTGTATTCATTACTCAACTAGAAAAGTCATTGCAATTTTTTTTTTTTTCTAGACAATTACCCAGGACTACTTATCATGAATGGATCAGTCCATTCATGATAGTAAGAAAGGTAATTGACTCTTACCACAACAATTTACATGATAGTAAGGAGGGCAACTGGTTCTTACCACAGCATGTCCCTTCTCTTATTTACTTAGCTTAGGTATGTATACTCATCAGTCAGTTATTGCTAGCCCTGTTTCCACTGAGTCTAAGATACTAGGTCAGGACCACTAACATTGCAGATTGTCCTTTGGATTTTATCAAGAATCTCTATATAAGGCCAGATAGGAAAGCAATATTCAGTGTTACAGTGGGACCTCAGGGGGGCTAATCAAATATTTACAGTATAAACCCTTGAGAATTAACAGTTTTAAATTTAGTATAAATCATCTTTTTTTTGTTATTTTAATAAATAATACTCCATTTGTTCTATAAGAATTGTCACATTTGTATACACATTTCATATATTAAACTGAATAACTATGATGAAACAAAAAAAATAGAAAAAATAAAACTACTGTCTAGTATTTGTGATGTGGGGTCTGGCAAGACACATGTTTAGAGATACCTTGTCTTGTTCTCTTTAGTACTGTTCAATAAATCAATCAAATATTTACAGTATAAACTCTTGAAAATTAAGTTTTAAATTTAGTATAGAGCTTCATTTTTTTTGTTATTTTAATAAATAATACTGCCTTTGTTCTATAAGAATTGTCACATTTCATATATTACATTGAATAACTATAATGAAATAGAAAAAATAAAACTATTGTCCATTATTATTTGTGATGTGGGGTCTGGCAAGACACAGCATTTAACTCGACAGAGTCACTTGTGATAGTAATATTCAACTCTTAACTAGACAAGTCACTGCAATCTTCTATTCTTTCTAGACAATTACCCAGGACTACTTATCATGAATGGATCAATTCGTTCATGATAAGGAGGGTAATTGACTCTTACCACAACAGTTATGCATTGTTTTGTTATTAAATTCATTGTTATAAAGAAGTTTATAAAAAATATTTGGAACTTTAAAGAGGAGAGATTTTAAATTCATTTTAAATAAAGTACTTGAGATTGATTTTGATAATAATAACCAGTTGATAACATTATCTGTGATTATAATAAACTGTTTACGCTATCTAAAAGGCAATATGAAATTTTAGAAATATATAATCTGATGATTTCTTTGTCTTTCTTGCAGACATTTGAGGAGACATCAAGTGAAGAAGACAATGAAGAAGTTGAGGAAGACATATTTAGTTCCAATGGACTGGTTGATCTTGAGGATCTGGGTAAAGTGATGAAGAACGTCAAAATTACAAAGGTAGAAACTCCCTCTCCCCACCACAAGATCTTCCAAGATTAACTCAACTTGGAAATTTACATTCAGTGCTTGGCAATGTTTAACCTTTGTGTTTGCATAAAAAGAGTGTGTCAAAAGGATTGTTATTTCCTTGACACTGCTATTATTGTATACACTTTTGACAATATTTATGTACAAAATTATAAAAAAAAATATGTGAACTGAGTATAATGCAATATATTTATTATTTACCTTTTATAAAGATTTATTACTTAGCATTTTATAAATATTTCAGAAATAAAGATAAATATCTTAAAATATCAAAGATGCTTTCAACTTGTTTTAATGAACTATGTATGGCAAGAGAAAATAAAAGAAATTGAAGAAAGATGCATTTTTTAAAAATTTATAATTATTCATTTTTATGTGTTTGTTTAAATTTTCTTGTTCAGACATTTTTAGAAATTTATGATTTAAAAAAAATTCTTTTCATATTTATTTTTTTATAAAATGGTAAATAATAGATATTTTATTATAGTTGATTCACATTTTTATAATCTGGAAAATTATAAAATTATTCTTGTAAATAAGCAGTCTGATAAATACATAGTGTTTAATAGCTTTATTCTGAATTCTCAAGAATAAAGAAAATTTTCGTATGTTTGGGTTTTATTAAAATTCTGATAATCTTTTTTTAAAACATTGTCAAGTTAGTCAAAAGTGTATACATAAAAGTGGTGTTGAGGGAATAACCGTCATTTTGACAGACTTTTTTTTTTTTTTTTTTTTTTTTTTTGCAGACATGAAGGTTAAATATTGCCCATTTCTTATGGTTGCTCTCTCAGCTTAAACAAGGTTTTGACATTGTGATAATCGTCTTTTCAATATCTCCACCTATACCATATTGTGGATCCATATGAAATGGTTTTCTGCAAAAAGCTCAGCTTTCAGTGGCTATATTTAATTTCCTCTGTTTGCATGTAACATATTGGTCTGAGGCTGATCCCCAGACTGACACTGACAAAGAGAAGCTTCAGTGAGTCCAATCAAATGTGAAAAACATCAGCAGGTAAGTTAGGTTTATGGCTCCAAGTTCTCTACTCAGGATTGTCCCATATGACAACAGCCTAGTGGATTAAAGTGTTGGCTCATGAATTTGGGTAATATGTACTTGGGCTCCCTGAAAAGGAGAGCAATAACTGAGTTATATTAAATAAGAACTATCTCTAGACATAGTCAACAAACAAGGACAACCTATTACTTTAGATTTAAATAAGGGGTGGAGTTTGAAATTCTTCAAAGGTTACCTGGATCAGTAAGCACCTGATGAAGGCTCAAGGCACAACAGTTGCAATGTGGCAACAACAAAGATGAGGACAATAGTTTGTAAATAATGGTAACTCCTTATCCCAGAAATTCAGACAGAAAGTGATCAGGTGATAACAACAAAGATGAGGATATTAGTCTGAATGTAAATAATAATAACTCTTTATCCCATAAATTCAGACAGAAGATGATCAAGTGACGAAGATGAGGATATTAGTCTGAATGCAAATAATGGTAACTCCTCATCTCAGAAATTCATATAGAAGGCAATCAGGTGATAATACCAACAAAGATAAGGACATTAGTCTGAATGTAAAAAATGATAACTTCCAGAAAAGTGGACCAGTGTATTTAAATAGTCCCTGTATATTTATGTAATTGATTTTAGTGAAGATATTGTGGTCACATCAGATTTTTTTTCACAGTCGACTATTGTACCTATATTTGGTGGTGCTATCACGTTTCAGCTGTTGTGCCTTTTGGCTTTTTTCATGGAATTTTGAACCGAATTTCTGGTATGAGGAGTTATTACTTACTCAGGCTATTGGACTGATCTTTGGTGGTGTTATCACAGTGTTTCAGCTGCATATAAATAATTTCTTGTCCCAGAAATTCTGACAGGAGATGGTATAGAGATAGTAACGTTTTGTATGTGATGCAATGTGGTTTGAGGAAGATGTCCAATGGGTGGAGAAAAGAGACACACTTTGTCACTACAGCATCCCATGGGTAAAGAGAGAAGAAACAGTGACCCCCCTTTTTTTTCTTGCTTTGTACAATGCTGCCTGCCTAGTGAGTGTTAGAAGCCAACAAATGGAGTAATCCTACAACAGAATACAAAAAGTTATAATCATTGAAGTGATCAAAATTAGAACTTTAGAGATCCTGGAAATGTCCTTATGAAATTCTTTAGCCAAACCCGACAGCCTGATATATGTTAGAATCTGAATCAAAATTTGAAATGATATGCTAATTTTGTTAGTTTTGATATACAATAAATCAAAACTCATCATGCATTTTCCAGATAAAAGATGGAAAGAATTGACACAAAAAAATGTTTAAATGTGATTTTTTTTTTTTTTTTGTCAGTTATTCAAGTCTTTTTGAGAACAAAGGTCACATTGTAGCAGGTCGTGTGTGAGATAAACACATGTATCTCCTGAAATATAGCCCACAACAAATATGGCAGACTCGGAATGAGTCCTCCCAAAAGAAATGTAAAAAAAAAAAATGTGAAGAAAACAACAAAGACCTGTGTGTGAGAGAGAGAGATAAAAAGATAAGAATGTTGATAACTCCTTCTCCATTTCTTGGACCAATCTTAATTGTTTTATAACCCTTCATGCAGAACTTTTCACTGCCAGTTCAAGAAAGAATTTGGGTCACTAACAACCAAAAAAGTGAATGCCTCATATTGAGAATATTTAACATTGAAAAACATAAGAAAAAAATTAATTATTTTTAATAATATGTGGAAAACTCCACCCTTTGCCTGATGACAGTGAAGAGACTGGAAGCACGTATAGCAAAATTATGGAAAATAAAGCATAATATTTATAAAAAAAAAAAAATCCACATTACAACCAAAAACGTTTGCAGTTTCTCTCTTTTTAATAGACATACTTTTCTCTCGTTGGAACTACGATAACCTCTTCCTTTTATTTATTTATTTATTTATTTATTTATTATATATATATATATATATATATACACACACACACACACAGGTATATGTGTATTAACAAACAATAAGGGTTACAATTGACAGAGACAGTAATGAGTGTGTATGAATGAACGTAGAAAGTTTGTGGTCAAAGTATGTGTGAATGGATGTTTGTACATACATGTGTGTGTGTGTATGTATGTTTCATGGTGTTTACCCCAAAGGAAAAAACACAAATTCTTCACAGAGCTTTACATGGTGTCGTCAGCTGAAAAAGAGGGCAAGGGAAGAAATCGCCAAGTATTTATAAAACTGGAGAGCGTCCCCAAGTAATGGTTTGGAAAATTAGGAAATTAAGGAGGAGATAACTCAGACAACATGACCAAAATGGTCATGTGACCTTTATCTCAAAACCTGAATAACTGTTCAGTGGAACTTCATTATTATCAAATCATATAGCCTAAACATTTCTCTCTCTTCTCAGACTAAACCAGTGACCAATGGCTATTCAGTATTGACCAAGAAGCAGAAAGAAAAATTGGATGAACCAAAGGCAATGATAACTCCTGTTTTCCGGAAATCCTTGGAGAAACAAGGCTACAATCTAATTGGCACACATTCAGGTGTAAAACTGTGTCGATGGACAAAGGTAAAGAAAGGAAGAGTTCTTTGATTTTTCTTTTTTTTGTTTCTTTTTTTTTGTTTCTTTTTTTTTGTTTCTTTTTTTTTTGTTTCTTTTTTTTTTTTTTTTTGTTTGTTTGGCTATGATGATTCGTATACTGTATATACTCATGTGACTTTTGAAGACCTAATTTTAGGAGAGGTCGCATTATACATAAGATGTAAAATTAGTATATGTACTGCTGGTCCTGGCTACGCCATTGACCAAACTATATATTTACTGTAGTCAAACAGTACAGCTGTATTTAAAATAAACATGATTTTGATAAAAAGTGATGTTTTACTTAATTGTATCCAATAATGCATGTAATATTCACATATTAGTATCGTATTATAAAATACAAAGCATAGCGAATATGCATCTTTTCCATTGTTTACATTTATAAGATGTTTAGCTGTACGTTGTTTGTTTATGGCCGTATAGCGCATATATATATATATATATATATATACACACACACACACACACACAGCATAGTATTAAAAGTTCATCTCATTATTAATAGTGCTGCTTTGTGTCCAAAAAGGGAGGCCCCATCATAGCAGGGAATGTCATTTGCCTGAAAATCTGTCGTGCTTCAGCTAAATTATTCAGTTTCCTCCAAATTCAACAACACCTGGCTACTCCTCCAAATTCAACAACAAAGGACTACTTGAATTTCCTACATGTAGTATTGCGACTGCAGCTTCCAATGGAATTTTGTCTCTGCTGTTTTCAACTTGCTAGATCTCACTGAAGAACTGAAGTTTTTCATGCACAGAAAGCTCATATAAGGAAAGTAGTAGTTCATCTACTTAAATTGTGGCCTGGTTCTGGTGGAATGATTGTATTTAAGTTCTTTGGTCACATGTTTTCAGTTGGAATTTTCTTCTTTTGGGAGTCCTGGGTATGACTATAAACTACATCTAGCAGCAAGACCTCTGATCAGAGAATTGTAGATTTTGAGGAGCATGGAACCACCTCTTAATTGCTATTGTTCCCAGGTCTACCCTGACCTGGGGTGATAGCAACTGTTAAGAGCCCCAGCTATGAAACAAAAACAAAACCCGATGGGAGTATAAAAATACCCGAAATCGATTTTTATATAAAAAAAAATTATCAACAATACCTATTTATCATAGACTTTCCAACAATATCCATTTATCTGTTGTTGAAAGCATATAATTGCATTCAAAATATTTAGATTTCGGCATTAAATAAACCATAGATATTAATATACCACTCAACAAAACCAACCAAACAACATAAAAGAACTCTTTCAGGATATGTATCGATATAATATCCTAAAATTTCTTAAATCAAACTGTATTCCAAAACATAACTTTAACAAAACTACAACATAAAACACACAGACACTGCCTCTAGTAATTATGTCTGCACAGAATTGTGCATGCTCAAAAGCTGAATATTGTATTCGGTTGTGAAAGCAGAATAACTTTTTTATTACTTCAAAGCTCCAAAGAAAAAATAAATTTTAGCATTAATTGACCTATGAGGAGTTGATATGCTGTTAAACAAACATTAACGAGTGCAATTTCTAAGTAATCATTCAAATATAAATTATCTCCCTTCATTTTTCTACTTTTTTTATGCGAACCAGTCATAAAAGTGAAGATTTCTCTTGCAGATAGCGTGTGGTAATGCTTTCTCTATCATTACGACTGGTAGAGGATAGGAAAAAAAAAAAAAAAAAAAAATTGTTTATCGGGATTTTGTTCAAATAAATCTTTTTAATTAAAACAAGATATATATATATATATATATATATATATATATATATATATATATATATATATAGTAACAAAGGCTTAAACACTAATATTAGTGTTTAAGCCTTTTACTATATCCTTACTCTGTCCTAGACATTGAGTTCTACCTGGATTCTTCCTCTTGAATTTTTTATAAAAAATATACATGCATGGGTATTTTTATATATTTTGCATATGTATGTATATTTTCCACTAATATTATCAATTATCTCTCTCTCTCTCTATATATATATATATATATATATATATAAAAACTCTTATTACCAGTCCAACAAACAAATCAATCTTCTTTTGGTGAGATCTGTAAAAAAATTGTGTTGGGCATAAGTACAATCAGAATAGATATTTCTTTCTGATCCTAGATATTTTAACTATCTCCATTCCTGCACCAATTTCTCTTGTGAATTAGGTAAGTTCATATCAGTTTCTAAAGAAGTGATGGATTTTTTATTTATTAATACAACAGATTTTATTACTTATTATTTATTTTTTAGTGCATACCCATATTTGAGAAACTTTATTAAAGAAAAATATGTGCTCTCCAGTAGGATTCAAACCTGCATCCTCTTAGGCAGGGCAAACTATCATTAGATTTGGCATGCTTTACACCATCTCAGCTATGAAGTGCGTCAGTGAGCATATTTCAAAACAAGAGCCAAAAACTTCAATATAATTATTTGAATTAAATTACAAAGCTCTGTTCCATCTTCAAGTGAAATTTTTTTTGAATTTTGAAATATGAGAACTTTTATGTAGTGGTGGAATCATATTTTTAAATAAATAAGTATATTTATGCTCTACTTTTGTATCGAGCACTATTTTTTAAAAATAATAACAAAAATACTAAAGAACTTCGAATTATTTACCTAATGAGTTCTTTCCTATTTTCTATATATTTTTACACACACACACACATTATAATTTTATCATGCAGACAAAAACCGTTTACTCACTACGAAGATGCACTTCGTTTTGGTGCATGAGGAGTTATGTTGTCATTTACACTATTTAGATTTGGACTATTGTCCTCATCTTTGTTGTTGTGTAAATTGATTATACTAATGTTTTTATTTATTTATTTTTTTTTTTTTGTTTTTAATTTCAGTCCATGTTACGTGGCCGAGGTGGTTGTTATAAACACACTTTTTATGGGATTGAAAGTCACAGGTGTATGGAGACAACTCCTAGCTTAGCTTGTGCAAACAAATGTGTCTTCTGCTGGAGGTAAGTATAAATGCCAACTTCATAATATATTTTTGGTATGCATCATATAAGGTGGTGCTGAAAACGGAAAACCATTTGACCAAATATCAGTTTTTTTTTTTTTTTTTTTTTTTTTTGTCCTTTCTTAGAATTTTTCAGCACCTCCTTGTTTTATTTTTTGTCCTTTCTTAGAATTTTTCAGCACCTCCTTGTTTTTTTTTTTTTTGTCCTTTCTTAGAATTTTTCAACACCTCCTTGTACTTGTAAAATTTCATCCAGTCTGTTTATGAAATTGTTTTATAGATAATCTAGAAGTAATTTCTCCATTTATTATTTAATTGCATTTCTCTTTATTCTTAATTAATTCATTTTTTCATTACTTTTTCCTTTTTAAATAATCTTTCAATTTTAAGGTTTATTTCAAAAGTAAATTTTTTAAAGTAAAATAATGTTTTTAAAATTTTATTTTTAAAAATGAAAAAATAAAAGTTTTTTTTAAATAAATTTTAAATACATTTTTTTTTTTTTATAAGTATTTTCATGGTAATTGTTCTGATGTGTATTCCTTTGTTACCTCGAATTAATTTAAATGCAGTACTAAATTGACAGCTAGGTCTCATCATTTCCAGTTGAAATTGCTAGATGTAACTATAAGTCTATACTAACAATTTTTTGCACTTCTTTCTTGTGGAACTCTCTACCAGCTTCTTGCTTCCCAGTCAACTTTGATCTTAAAAAATTTAAATGCGATGTCAATAGTTCTCATCTGTCTTTATTCCTGTTCTTTTATTGTTGTCTTTTCTTAATGTAGCTTCCCTCTGCCATTTCTATAAATATTTCTGTGGGAATTGTTCTGATGAACTTTCCTCTGTGATACCTAGATTTTATGAATTTAAGTGCAGTACTAGATTGGTGGCAAGGTCTCATAATTTTACAGTTGAAATGATTCGATGTAACTCTAAGTTCTATTCTAACAGTTTCTTCTCTTGTACTTCTCATCTGTGGAACTCTCTTCTGGTAATTGTTCTGAGGAGCTTTCCTCTATGGTACCTAGACTTTATGAATTTAAGTGCAGTACTAGATTGGCGGCAAGTTTCCATCATTTTACAGTTGAAATGGCTCCACGTAACGGTAATTTCTATGCTAACAGTTTCTTCTCTTGTATTTCTCATCTGTGGAACTCTCTTCTGGTAGTTTTTCTGATGAACTTTCCTTAGATTTTATGAATTGAAGTGCAGTTGGCGGCAAGGTTTCATCATTTTACAGTTGAAATGGTTCCAAGTAACCATCAGTTCTATGCTAATAGTTTCTCCTCTAGGACTTCTTACTTGTGAATCTCCTTTCCAACTTCTTGCTTCCCAGTCAACTTTGTTCTTCAAAAATTTAGATGCAATGTCAGTCATTATCTTCTGTGTTAATTACTGTTTTTATTGTTTTCCATTCTAAGTAGGGTTTTTTTTTTTTTTTCTAACACTCAGTAACCCCTTGTGTCTTAGTGGTTTTATTGCATTGCCTGGGGTGAAATGATTAAAAGAAATAGTTGGGATGTTCAAATATATATATATATATATATATATATATATATATATATCACTTTTCTGCCCGCTATAAAGCTCTCATAACTCAATCAGTTGGTTACCTATTACAGTTTATCAAGCTTTCTGAGACAAATGGTTTTGAGTTCAAATCTCACTAAGAGACACTTTTTTATTTCTGATCTCTGTTGTTTATGGATGTTTGTAGATGATTGGCTTGATTACTCCAGCTGAAACATGGCTAAAAATCAAAATGAAAGCAATACTTGTCAAAATGAATAATAATTATTTTGCATATCAATTCTTTTAAAATTTTAATTGATAAAATACAATTTTGTGTTTTTTTTCAGACATCACACAAACCCAGTGGGTACAGAATGGCGTTGGCTGATGGATAATGCAGAAACTATTTTAAAAGGGGCATTGGAAGGTCATTGCAAGATGATTAAGCAGTTCAGAGGTCAGTTTACTTCTTGGATTGTCCTTCTGTCCTGCTTTTAATTTTATTGCTGTAGCGCAATAGTTTTTACATTTGTCTCACAGAATATTGTTAGTGAATTTCATTTTCAGTAGAAACTCTGTACAATGATCTTGGGTCTGTAGAATCGAAATATAGTACTTACACAAGGAAGTTTGCAACTAGCATCTAGTTGGCAGACAAAAAGAAAGCAGGCTGTAACTCAATGCAGATCCTGTATTCAAGCATTCATAGCTTAATGATGGATATTTATTGATCACAATAAGTCAGAAGCCAATCAGAGAATAGGCTTGCCCAGATAGCATAATGGAACATCACAGCCTGTTATATAAACTACTCACCAACTGGCCCAGATGAACAGTTGTTGAGCAGATATTCAACTTGCAATACAGTTGAGTACTATTCTTTGGTTATGACCTAGCTTGAGATTCCCAACCTCCCCAGTTTGTTTTTGGCCCCTTTTATCTCAACTGGGTCAGCTTTATATTTTCCCATGGCCATATAATTTTTTATCCTTTTACCACTCCCTTAGCGAGAGAGCTTCTTGATTTTGTCCAAATGGGCAGAATACAGAGGCCTCTCATTTTTGAGGGTTGGACGGGCCCTACTAACATCAGTTATGTTTAGTTACTTTTGTGTATCGTTTTAGTTTCTTACTGGGTTCATCTCCCCCCCCCCTTTTATTTCATTCATCTGTAAATTTTTAATTGTACATATATAATCATTATATTTTTATGGCATGGGGTGCGTTTTTGTAGGTCCCCCTTGAGAGGATGCGGTATTATATGTATGGAGGATTGATTGGTGATGGATGAGTTCTTATGGTGAATGTGGAAATTGTAATGTATGAATGATTCGTGAATCGGATTAGCTAGGTATAAGATAGTTAGTGATGACCAGCCTCAACCCCCACCCCACATTTCAGCCTTGTACCATAATTGTGTAATTTTTTCACAATAAATATAGATTACTAGTCTATTTGTCTAACTAAATCCTACAAGGTCAAACTAATGTTTGTAAATATAAGTGTCCCCTTTTATATGTGAGAAATATGTTCCAAGATCCCCCAATAGATGGCTGAATCTGTGGATAACATGAACCTGTCCAGTGTTGACTGGTAGGCTCCGGTATAATAAAAAAATAGATTTTGATGTCAAATAACCCAATTATGGTTGAAATATCATTAAAAAAATCTTTTACAATAAGTCTTAATTTAACCTGTCATAAGTAAACATAGAACCATTTGATATTCTTTATTGTAGTTTAAAAAAAAAAAAAAATGTTTTTTGTTACATTTTGTCTGTCAATATACAAGAATGGCATATGTTTTCACCTTTGGTTCATGACTACAACTCTGTAAATGTATGACTGGCAGGAAAGGAACATCTTACTGCTATTATTTCAAGCTTGTATCTTTCTGAAATTCACAGAGCATAATATGCCAAAAGTGCAATTTCTTGTTCTCTGTCTTCAAGGCATTCATTTGTTGACAAAACATTAACCTTCAAAAAAATCTGATTTGCAACTGTATGATGAAAGTTTTCAATCTAGAACACAGCAGAAATCAGCACAAAAACAAATGCCAATGTCAAGTTGTGGTTATTTTATATTAACAATGAAAATTGGGCACAAATTTTTCTAACAATTGTGATAGGAGTTCCATATGTTATCAATACTGCATTTTTGATCTGACTCTTGTAATGAAAGAGCATGGTAGGAGGAGTCTGATACTTCATGTAGTGGTACAAGGAACAGATCCTTTTTCCAGAATCTTTGGCAATGGATCATATATATATATGAGAGTTTCACTTGAGGTCTGGTGTTAACTTGCTTTTTAATATGCATTCAAAGCTAGGAACTTTATTGAGAATGCAACCATTCATCATGACTGATGACAATTTAGATTTTATTATGAGTTTTACTCCATCTTATTATTTACATCTTTTGCTTGGAGTAAAAAAAAATATGCTAATTTCAATAAAAATTTACATGAAAATGAAACAGAAAGCAAGAATAGCAAAAAAATTTCCACTTAACATAAAAAGGTAAATTGAAAAACAAAAAAACAACCCTCCCCCCCCAAAAAAATGAAAAATTTAATTGGTTTTTATTCCTCTTTCTTAAGAGCTCAAGTGAGGACTGAGAAAATGTGAGAAATTGATGATTATATATTTAAGATATTTGAATTCTTGTCACCAGTTTTTTCTATTTTATTTGCTTAACTATATATATTAAGTCCTTAGAGCCCACCCTGTGTAAGCAGGAGGAGTGTTTTTTGGCCTTAGTGTTATCAGCTTTTGTTGATTATATATTTGATATTAATAATATCTTGTTTTTGGTGTATCCTATTTTATTTGCTCCTCATGTTTTTTCAGTCCTTCTTCAAGTTTTGATGGGAGAAATGAAAACTGGTTAAGTTTTTTTTATTATTAATTCTTCCAGCTTCCTTCTTCATAATAATTATAAATATTTTTGCTATTTTTTCTTGTTTAGTTTAATTTTTTATTTATTTTTTATTGCAATCATCTTGTTGCTTTTTATCATAGCACCTGAGGTCAATGTAGTTTTAATCTGACTCCGGTGCACAGAGTGGGAAAAGATGCTGCTGAAGCAATCTTCCAAGTTAAGCTTGCTTGCCCTCAAAACCAACGTTAATAATTGTGACTTAGTCTAGCTTGAACACTAAATCCTAGCACCAATGATATATACACAATATTCAGTAACTAACCAGGTGCAATGTATTTATAGAGTTTAGTTTGATACAAGGCCAATAGACTGGGATGCTCAGAAAGATTATTACTGGTTAAGTAAATTAAACATATAGCTTCCAGTTCTGTCTTGACAATCTCTGGTGTATGTTTTTGACCAGTAATACCATAAAAGAATACTGAATTGTTATGTGATGTCTGTCCTTCTTTATGGCTATGAATGTTGGGCAATTTTGAAGAGACTCAAGGTGACAGATATTGTTCTACAGAAGGAAGCTAAGGATATCATGGACCAAGCATGTGAACAACAATGAAGTATTAGAGAGGTTGCAAACAAAGAGGAGGCTTATACTTAATATCAGGAAGAGGCAGCTGAAGTTTCTGGGACACATAATGAGGAAGGAGGGCTTAGAGAATCTGATACTCACAGGTCAAAATGGAGGGAAAGAGAGACAAGGGAAAACAATGTGTGACATACCTGGCAGAGTTAGGCAGGTGGATGACAGAATGTGGTCTGGTGGAGGAAGCAGAGGGAAGGAACTTGTGGAGAGCCATGATTGCTTACATGCTGAAAGGACATGGCACGTAAAAAAAAAAAAAAAAAAAAAGAGAATACCATTTTGGTTTGTTGTTAAAGACCTCAAACCTTAAAAGTTCAGTGAAGGAATAATATTGGTTTGTCTCGGCATTTAACAGATAAAAGAGGAAAATATGACAAAGAAGAAAGTTAAATATAATAATAATTTTTTTTTTTAGGTGTGCCTGGGGTAATTCCTGAGAAATTCAATGAGGGAATGTCTCCTAAACATTGTGCATTGTCTTTGGTTGGTGAACCAATTATGTATCCTGAAATCAATAAATTTGTAAACTTGCTCCACAATAAAGAGATTTCAACATTTCTGGTCACAAATGCTCAATTTCCAGATGCCATACGGTAAGTTGTTTTTTGTTTTTGGTTTTTGGGGGTTTTTTTTCCAAATTTAATGGCAAAATATTATTCAGAAGATAATATAATAGCAATGATACCAAGATATCTCTTCCACAATTGATTGATAAATTTTAAATGCAAAAATTTCTCTTAATTCAGCAGCATACATCCTTGCAGTTTATAACACCATTTTGAATGGCAAATAGGTTGGTTTCTTTGCAAATATAATCTTCATGAGAATAGAGAGTGATCCCTGGGATGGGAGCATTTCATCATCTTATATCGATTTTAACACATGGAGCACAATTAAAAGAAAAAACAAGGAAAAACAGGGTCATAATTGGTATGTCCACAATTCATTATGCCTCATTACCAAACACTGCGAATGGAATCACTTTGGCCAATTGCTAGTTGGTGAAACTATTTAACCAATAGTTGGAGGTTTTGAAATCAGAGTTGTAGTCTTAGACTGGTTGCCATCAAAGGGTATAGGACCAAGTCTGTCCTGCTATTTTGCTCATATTTAATACATTTTATTCACTATTCTCAAAGGATCCTAATCCAGGGGCTTCTCACTCTTGTTGGAGGAACCACTCCCTGATTGATAATGTCTTCAGGGGTGTATCTCTACTTGCCACACTTGGCCAATTGCAAGTTGGTGAGACTATTTAACCTCATAGTTGGAGGTGGATGGCCATTAACTCTGAGGAGTTCATTCACTCTTTAACAGCTCATGTTTTTGTGCTGCTTGGGGTTCCACATATCCTCCTCACCGGACTACGGTCTGGCGCAGGGAAGCCAGTTTAGTTGACGACCACTCAGATTTTGATTTCAGAGCTGTCCATCTCCTAAACTGGTTAGCACCCAAGGATCCTGTCTGTCCTGCTATTTACCAATAACTGGGGGGGGGGGCGTCATAGATGAGATGGATTCATACATAAGTCAATGCAATGAACTCGACTGGAATTCAAACTCTGCTTTCCGATTCCTCAATCTGAGTTGCTATCCATTACTCCACTGTATCTCCATTTTTAAGTGAAGTACCAAACATCATAAAGAGAAATTTGATGGGAAGTGGTGTGTATGATTGTTTTTAAAAGATTAAAAAAAAATCTACTTAGATCTGCGTAAAAATGCTGTACTTCACTAAAATCATGTAAAATAAAAAACCTAAATATATATTCTAAGAAAGTACAGAGTGTGATGGATAAATTACCATCTAAATTACGCAAAAATGACACTGACGTCTCATTTTTACAGATATACATGGTGCGATAGATAAATTGTCGTCTAAATTACACAAAAATGAAAATAACACTGACGTCTCATTTTAACAGATATACTTACCAAAATTACACAAAAATATCTTGAAATACTAAAGAGTAAATTTATTCAATAAAATCGCCATTGGCTTCAACCCTGGCCTCTAAATGACTTTAGAATCTCCTGCAGCACTTCTGGACAGTCTCCTCCTTGTTTATGTTGGTGAATGCTGCCATCATCCTTGCTTTCAGTACATATTTGGTGGTACAAGGAGTTTTGTTGGTATCTTGCTCAACTGCGCCTCACACATAATAATCAAGAGGGTGTCATTCTGGGTAGTTAGGTGGGCAGATGTAAAGGGTGATGTGGTTGCAGAAATGATCTGACCGCCATGACTGGGCTCTCCTACTTGTGTTCCATGGTGCAGAGTCCTGTTGCCAAACATAGGGTCTTCCAGCAGCCACCCTTTTGACCCAGGGCAGCACTACCTCCTCAAGGCTCTTGATGTAGGCTTCTGTGTTGAGTCTCTGTGGAAAGATGAATGGAATCATAACATTTCCATCACTAGTGATCACGCCAAACACTCTCGTAATCAACATTAGACTTCTTCAACTATTTCTGAATCCTCTGCACTGTCCTCAGATCGACACCCAAACACTAAAATGTTTGTATTGGAGCTTCTGGCGTAAATGCCAAGCAGTACAGCATACCATTTCCAAATTTCTAGCAGAGTGAATTGTCATGGTGCTCTTTCTCACAGACAATGCCCAACTGACACTATTTTACTGTGCAGTTGACAAAATCAAAAACAATGTGCATGCATGAAATTAAAAATATAAAATGGTGACAATTTACCCATCATACCCTGTATGTAATTTCAATTCATGCTGAGTAATTCCAGACGTGGCGTAAGTTGCAGATTAGCAGATTTCTTATCTCCAAGCATTACAAATCATATTAATTCCACAGACTTTTGAAGCAACATTATTCAACCACAAGGGGCCATTTTCACATAGCATACAGGCAACACATTATTAGCCTGTTTGTCATTAGAATTAATTCACATTGCATAACAGATCCTTAGTTTGGACAGGTATGTTTTTAACCTTCCTTTGTATTTATTGCCTGGAGGAAGTGTCCATTTTGAAGTACTTGGGAGCAACCCTGTCAAAAGATGACACCTGTAATGCAGAAATTCCCACGTTTCGCCACAGCAGTGATAGCCAATCTGGAAAGGACATGGAAGAGCAACATCATTTCTATACTATGTTCAAGCTCTACAGATCACTATTCATATCTTTCCTCCTCTATAGGTGTGAAACTTGGACACTCCTGGTTGAGGCAGGAAAATGGATCCAGGGATCTAAGAACAAATTCCATAGAAAGTTCCTCTGCATCTTCTACTGGAAGTACAAAACCAATGTCTGTACAGAGCAAGGTTAAAAATCTTGTAGGCCAATAGTAATTTCTTCTTGCCACTATTAAGCATCAGCATATGGCATAATATGACCATGTCACATGGCATAACAGCCACTGCAATACCACATACTCTATAGAAGCAACATTATAGGGCCATTTTCATATCACACATGGGTGACGCTTTATTAAAGTTGAAACCCTTTTTTGTCATTAGTTCATATCCCATAACAGATTGTCTTATGGCCATATCACATTGAAACATTGGTTTCAATATGATCACTGGGATTAAGCAACATTGAACCTGGCCAGTACCTAGATGGGTGACCACTTCAGAATACCAGGTGCTGGAAGCTTGGATGTGTGGGTGGTCTAATGCATAATGGCTTGGAATTGTCAATTGGATAGCAGAGTTCCAATTCCATTTGGATTCATTATATTCACTTACATATGAAAATACCCCTGGCAAAGGTATGAATTCACTTCTCCTCCTCCTCTAAGTTATGGATGTATTAGTAAGACTTGTATCAATAAATCATTATCACCAAAAAACAAAAATTCTTACAATTCAAAAGTATTTTCTGGCTTTAAATAACGTGCAAAGGGTTGATAAGCCATAGGAAACAAATCAATTGATCAATAAAAAAAATCACAAAAAAATTTAAAATAAAATGTGTCATCAATCTGTTATGATTGATGACAAGTTTTATATTTAATTTTATTGTGATTTTTTTTTAATTATTATTTTTGTGATTTTTTTAATTATTATTTTTGTGACTTTTCTTTTTATAACTTCATTTTTGTGGTTTTTTTATTTTTTTATGATTTTTTTCTTGTGTTTTTATTTTTTTAAGTGTTGTGATTTTTTTATTTTAAGGAATTTAGTGCCAGTGACACAACTATATGTCAGTGTTGATGCGAGCGACAAGGAAAGCTTAAAAAAAATTGACCGTCCACTTTTCCGAGATTTTTGGCAGCGTTTCTTATCCAGCCTTGAGGCTTTGGCTACAAAACGGCAGCGAACTGTCTACAGGTTGACTCTTGTTAAAGGCTGGAACACTGATGAAATTGAAGCTTATGCAAAACTTGTCAACTACGGCAAACCTGATTTTATTGAAGTTAAGGTAAGAAAGAGAATTCCCAAAGGATTCATGTTATTAGGGCAGGGAAAGCATATTACTGATAAAAACAGCATTGTTTTTAAAAGTTGAAAAATACTTAAATGGTAATGATGAAATTAGCTGTTTCCTTTATAAAGAGATATTTGTCATTTATTGGCTGAACTGTTAACTTTGTCAGTTGAAATTCCCAGAATCTTTTTCTTAAAACATTTTTTTTCCAGGAAGTTAAACTTCTCAAGCCTGTTAACTATTATGGCTTTTTCTAGTATTGATGGGAATTTCCTTAATAGCTTTTTGTTTAAGTTAGTGTGGAAAGTCAATGTCAACATCTTGAGTGTATCATTATTTCCTCTTGGAGTTATATTTTAGTGGTTGCTACTGTTGGAAGTCTTCAAGTGAGGTGGTTTTTGTTATTTGGTAAAGCTTGTGCTTTTCTACTGAAAACACTCATTTACAAGGTTCAAGATGCACTTGTGATATGCATGAAAGAGACGGTAGAAAGAAATGAAGATGAGGACAGATAGTGATTGATCTTGGGCATGAAAAGATTAAGATTGTAATGTTCAGGAAAGCATCCATGTGGCAGTTTGTTCCACAAAGTAGGAGTTGGGATTAGAATAACCTTGTTCTGTTTGTAATTGAATGACACTCTATATGTTTTCAAGGATTGATCTCTGTGTAGTTAAGCAACTGGTTCTTAATTCTTACATTTGATGGAATCTATTTCAACTCACTCGAGGTGATGTCATATAAATGGTCAAACTGAAATTTGTGTGTGTATGTTTTTTTTTTTTTTTTTTTAACACACTTTGATATTAGGTCACTGATGGAAAGAGAGACCTTATTCAATTTTGGCTGATTCTCTTTTATTACAACAATCCCAGAATTTGGAGTTTTTCTTTGCACTGTGACCTGTATAGAATTTTGCTCTTGTCAACAAAAATTTGTCTAATGCTGATAATATTTTGTCTATTAGTCATATTGTGAGGAACAAGAAGACTTACCTCCCGCAAAGCGAATTTGCATGGCGTCTCAGGTCTTGTTACAATGATTGTGACCAGCATTCAAAGCGAAAATGAATTATTCCAAAACTCTTATTTCGCAGACAGGCGTACTACGAAAAATAAAAATAAAAGACTAAAAATTCAAGCCAGCATAAATTTATAAAATCAGAAGTCTCGGGTGAACGAGAAGTAAGTCTCATATGCAAATGTTAGCTGCCCTCTGACAGAGGCATAAATAGCGAGTTTGTGAGAAAGACGGAACAGAACACATTGTTGGCGTGACGGCGTACATGCTAACGAGAACGAGAGAATAAGAAGTCACTAGCAACAGCTAAGTGGTAGACCAGAGGACTGGATGAAAGCAAGCACTTTAATCTATCTCGGTCATCGCAAACAACAGGCGAACTGAATTACGCACACATGTTCATTTGTATGTTTATGAATTGTGCTAAATTTTGACAAATGACAAGTTAACCTATAAGAGAGTGTGGTGCATGTGTGGCCAATGTGAGAATTTAACGTTGATTGTTTGTGTTGGAGACATAATCTCCCAAAGACATAATTCATAAACAACATTATTTTTACATAGGTTAGATATTTGTGGTGAGGAATTATTTCTGTGAATTAGATGGGACATTTTGAATTTTTTATAATAGATGATTTTTCTAAGGTATTTGTTAGGATCTATAACATTTTATATAATGGCAGATGATAATTTTAATATACTTGTTGTTTTTGTTTTGTTTATAATTAGGATGCACCAGGTTACAATGAAATAATTTAATGGGGGTTTTTATTTTTGTTTATATGGAGATGGTTGCATATATTATTTTTTTCAAAATTTCTTTAAAGCTAATTTTATTTCATCATCAACATGTTTTGGGAAATTATTATTAGTAAAGGTTTGTTTTATGTTGCTTAATTCTCTACAAAAGAATGTCTCAGAAGAGGAAATCATTTTAGCACGTTAAATCCTGTTTTTTATAATACCTATTTGTATTGCAATGATCTTTGAAATGGTCAGTAATGTTGAAGGTACACTATAGGCCAAAAGTTTAGGGGTACTCTTTAGATTTCAAAAAATAACTAAGGATGTGTTGATAACTCGTAGAAAATGAATGAAGCAATCAAAAAAAATTGCCTTGAACTTTAAACTTGCTTGCCATTTGCAAAAGTAATTTATGAGCTCACTCTGGGTCAGAGGAACTTTCTCTTCCTGAAGGAGTTTATCATACCTGGGGGAATAGCAGAATTGAAATGTTATATCTTAGAAATGATTAAAGATATCTTACTGGAATTCTCCAAAGTATTTTATAACACTATTGAACTCTACTTTGAGCAATAAGGATGTATAATTACTCTCCAAGTTTAACTGAAGAATCATGATGAAATCGATCATAAACTAAAATGACATGTTCATCATTAATTAATCATAGCTAAGGATCAGAAACTCATGAAGGATTAAAATAAAGTTCAAATATATATATATATATATATATATATATATATATATATATTCCAACTTAATCAAGATCTCTGTCCTTCTAACTTTCTGTCCTGGAGTAACAAGGTGCCTCACATGTTTCATTTTCAAGTCTTTTTTTCATTTCTCCTTGGACTGTCATAGCTGAAACTCCTCTCTCACATGCCAAACGTCTTACAGATTGAGTTGGATTTTTTTCTAATTGATCTCTTCAGCTTTAAGTTGAAATGATGATCCCTTTTCCTGTTGTGACCTTCTGATCTAGTTTGCCTCTTTACTGTTTCCTCTGTTTTAAACTTATTCAGTGTTCTCTTGATGGTTCTTGAATGGACTTTGAAGATGGAAGCCAGAGTATGAATATTGGTACCATTACTGAAGGCCTGAATGATTTTTTTCTTCTCACCATTGCTCACTTGAGAAGACAGTGGATCTGACACAAAATGATTTTAACCAACCCGTCCCCTTTCTATCTGAATAATTCAAAGGGTTTTTCAGTGATTCCTATGACAAATGGTATCAAGATGGTCAAACGTCTTATCTGAAAACCTGGAAAAAAAGAAACTCTGTTTAGTGGTTTTTTGATATTAAATATTTTGTAGGATGGATAATTTTGCTTCGTTAAATTTCCTTTAAATTTTAACTCTCTTTGCCTATGCTATCTTGCTGATTAATGATAATCTTAGAACTGGTGGTTTTTCAATTTTAGGCAAGTCTGCCTTACTAAAAAAATTGGATGCCATCCACGAATGGGTTAAATTAGCATTTCTCAACTTTTTCTCAACCAGCACCACTAAGGGCACAAACTTTTTGTCAATGCCCCCGCCACCGTCAAATTAACTTTTGAATATTATACTGAATTCATCTTTCATAGCAAGATAACATTTGTGTATTAGTGCAAAAATAATGTTCATACTGTTTTCATTTCTATTGGAAATGCCAATGATTAAAATCCTAAAAAACTTATTTGATAGCTTATCTCAATGTTTTCAATGCGATGGTTGACTTTGGTGCTTACTGGCTAAGGCTCTTACACTAGGTTCATTTCATAGCTTATCTCAATGTTTTCAATGCGATGGTTGACTTTGGTGCTTACTGGCTAAGGCTCTTAATCTAGGTCCATTTCATAGCTTATCTCAATGTTTTCAATGCGATGGTTGACTTTGGTGCTTACTGGCTAAGGCTCTTAATCTAGGTTCCATGCTTCTTTGAAATAATTGTAAGTCACCTTGTTTTGTAATTTTCAGGCAGTTTCTTTGTTTAGTAAGAAGCTTTGTAACGGCATTGAAACCACATTCAGCCATAGAGGAAGTTAAAAAAGCAATGAAGAAAAAAATCGAAAAAAACTCCTTTGAACCCCCTTTTAACATAACAGAGCCCACAAGGGGGCAGTATCGCCCACTTTGAGAAACACTGTGTTAAATAATTTCAACATACTAGTTTAGCAAGAACTAATTAAAACAAAAATGGTATGAAATTTACTAATTATAAAATCTAGTGGTTGGCCCTAATCTTTTGGCCTATAATGTACTTGTTTCAAAATAACCAACACTGTTAATAAAACTGCAATTTGGACACTTGAGATTTGTTTAAAAATATTTCTAATGGCATCGACAATCTTAAAAGCATAAAACTGCCCCCCACCAAAAATACTGATCTTAAAACTTGGATGATTTTTTTCAAGTTTGTTTTCTAAGATTTTGATTAAAATCCTGTAAATAATTAATAAGTTTTCTGTTTCCCCAGGGTGTTACTTACTGTGGAGAGTCGAAAGCCTCTACATTGACAATGAAGAATGTTCCTTGGCATGAAGAAGTGGCTGGATTTGTTGAAGAGCTGGCAGATCATCTGCCAGACTATGAAATTGCCTGCGAACATGAACATTCTAATTGCCTGTTGATAGCCAATAAGAAGGTAAGTTCTTTATTTATTGGGCCAGTTTTAGTGGGGAAATAGTCAAGAAAAGTAGAATTATAAGATGCTTCAAAATTAAACATTTTTCAGAATTGAATGCATATTCTATTAAACTAAATCCATTTTTCTGACAAAGCTAGGATTCCGGACTGGCAAAAAAAAAAAAAACTGGAATATAAATCTGTGTCTGTATATTTTAAATCTTGTTGGATGCATTTTTAGAAATGGTGTGGGAGCTTGTTTCTTCACCAGAAGTTGCATGGGGACATTTTCCTTAGAATTATACTTTTCACAATCAGAAATTTTTATTTCTGGAGTAAAAATCAGACTCCATTGTTTTTTTGTTTTTTTTTAAAACCATTTCACCCTAAGTAAAGCAATAAAGCCACTAAGGCACAAGTGATTACTGAGTGTGAAAGAGAATGAGAAGGCATTAGAAGGAACTAGAAACCCAATCCTAAACGGGAAACAAGGGATAAACCTCTACTCATCTATTCACCCCAAGCAAGGCAATAATGCCACTAAGTTGCAAGGGACTACTGGGAATGAAAGAGAATGAGAAGACTTTAGAAGGAAATTGTAAGCAGGAAACAAGGTTGCTCAAAAGACATGGCAGGAATTTAATTTTTCATTATTATAAAAAGGTTCAACAATTTTTTTTTAAGAAACGCAACAAACATAGGAGTGTATGTAAAATCATATTAACTTAATGGTGAACGCAACACTATACAATGAAAATTGTGTTGTCAAAAATCAAAAACTGCCTTAATTTTTATAATTGTTGATTTATTTCAGTTCAAAAAGAATGGTGACTGGTATACATGGATTAATTACGACCGTTTCCATGAATTGGTGAAGGAACATTGTGTAAACACAAATGGTTCTCGAACATTTTCAGCTGAAGATTACATGGCACGAACACCAGATTGGGCAGTTTATGGTGCCAAAGAGAAAGGGTTCAATCCTACTGAGACTAGATTTCACAGAAAAAAGAAAAAAGACATTTCTGGCTGTTGATGTTTGGAGAAAATAATTTTATTTTTTTTTTTTTTTTAAACATTTGTCTGTCTTTTTTAAATAAATCTTTTAAATTTAAATTATTTGACTTTAGCTTGTGTTTTTATTTTTGCTAGACTATACATGCATACATTCTGTGATCTAAAGTTGCAAAAAACAAGTCACTGAAAACCGAACACTTTTTTCGCTATGAATGTTGTCTGCTCAGATTTATTGCCAAACCTGACCCCTTGGAATTCAAATCTTGAAATTTACTTCTGAATTCTGTCAAGCTTTGTAGGGCAAAACAGAAGTAGTTCTGAGGTAGCCTTGGCTCAGCTCAAAGAAAGATAAGATTACAAAATTAATTACAGGCTGACTTATGACTAGATTGCTTTATGACCTGCTGTTCATAACCAATTGTGGTCATAAGTTGACAACCTATATATATATATATATATATATATATATATATATATATATATATATATATATATATATAAGGCTAAGATGAGGCCTCAAGCCTTGAATGGTGACCTTCCTAGAGATGTTGTCTTAATAAAACACTTGCTGATCTTGGGACTACTATGAGTTGGGCATCAGGAAGAGCATCCAGCCTTTTAAAACCTTGTCACAAATCATTATGATAAATCCTTTGTCCTGTGTCAACAATATAAAAAAAAAAACACAGCTATATAAGTTTGTGACTGTGGGAATGTTAAAAACAGCTGCAGAATTTCCTTAGGGTCACAGTGGATAAATTGCATCCCATATATACAGGTCTGTCAGGTTGATTCACTTTGATAGGTTTTTAGTACTTCTGCTGACCTTTCTCGCCAACATCACTGGCTACAATCAAATAAATAAATACTTACGGCTCTACTTTTTGTATTGAACAGTGTTTTTTAAATACAAAAAGTAGAGCCATAAGTATTTATTTATTTCTTAAAATGTTACTCATAACATTGTGATTCCCCACCTGATGAGATGTTTAAAAAAGATTTTCCTTTTTTGACATTGAAACATATGCAATTTTCTAATGTAAGACTGCATATGAAATATATATATATATATATATATATATATATACTGAATTTATATTTAAATTAATGTTTATTTTTATCCAGTTAGATTTGATAATATTTTAATAAGCCAACACAAGTATAAAAAATTTTGGAGCCACTGTTTTTACCAACACCAGAAACTTTTCACAAATTAAAATTTTATTTACTGATCAGTAAATATTTTATGTGAAACATAGCTAAGCTAGTAAATATTCAAAGAACATTTTGAAAGGTCTAAAAGAAAATTTTTGTGTGTTTTTATATATATATATATATATATATATATATATATATATATATAATATGAAAAATATATGTGTGCGTGAGAAATCTGATAGCAGAGTGTGTTGTAACCGAGGGAAGGTTCCTGAATCGAATAATCACACAAAGGTTGGTAATACGCAATAATACTTAGGACACGAACAACACATATAGGATTCGCTAGCTATGACTAGAAGTGAGTCAAGTGAATGCCACGATGAATTTCAATTGCAGACCAGCACACAATATTCACTATTACTGTATTTATGGGAATGGGGCATACCCATTATTGTCCATAGGTATGTTACAACAATATATATATATATATACAATTTGTTAATACTACATTGAAAACAATAAAAGACTTAAAAGTCAACACTAAGCAAAGCAATAAGCTAAAACCTGAAGGAGGAATTTACTCTATCACCTGTAATAAGTGTCACAAAATATACATAGGAGAAACCTCAAGGAATCTAAATAAAGGATAAAATGAACACAAAAGACCTTTTACAAAAAATGTCACTGTTGGTTGCCCACCACAAATTCAACATAAAAAATGTTACTCTGATCAAAGGAGAAAACAATTCACTATGATGTAAGTGTGCCTTGATTGCAAGGTCATCTACAGTAAATTTGCACCCTGCTCTTTAAAACATTTCACCATTCCTGGCAGATCTATTATCACAGTGTGGGATACCTACTAACAAAAGTGATGAAAAGAAAGAATCTAAATGAATTCAGCTAAATACAAAAAAAAAAATTCTAAAATCCCCAACACTCCTCGTTTATGCATGGATATAGTCATACAAACATAAGTTTAGTTCAATGAAGTCCTGAAGGACAAAATGGGTCGCATGTCAAGTTTTTCCATTGTGTCATACAATATATATGTATATGTATGTATAGAAATGTAAATGAAAAGAGACAAAAAGAAAACTTTTCTTAGCTGATACATTCCATCCTTAAAGTTTCCTCAGTCCCCCCCAATTTTTTTTTTTTTTTTTTTTTAACAAATTTGTTTATATAAGGAAAATCTGTGTCAAAATGGGTCACAAATTTTCATGTGACAAGTTTCAGCCTTTAGGACTTCAATGGACTGAAGTGATGTTCAAGTTGATGTGGTTACACATGCACATGAAGGAGAGGGGACATTCTTGGGTTTACAATCTAGCTGTTTCTGTTTCTTTGTTTTTACTGCATTTGTTATTAAATATCCCACATTGTCAGCATGAAAGATCTATCACAAAAGTTGAAATGTAAGAACCTCGGTGTAAATTTACTGTGGATATTCCAGCGATTAAAGCACTTTCTATAAAAAGTTTTTTCATCTTCAGCAATTTGCTTTCTCTTTCAACTAAAGTAGCATCCTTTAAATCAAAATTACGGTCAGACTCACCTCAATAAAAAAATCTATGCATTGTGTCGTTTTGTAAAAAATCTCTTTTGGCTTTATATAAACTTTAAATGGTCTGAAGATGACATGAGCATGAATCTTAGGTTACAACTAGGGCCATCCCTTCATAGGAATTAACATTGTCAAGCGTTTTTGCTCTCTCTCTCTCTCTCTCTCTCTTGGAAATATAGGCTTTGAGCATTTTACTGAGTATGTGGGTTTATCTTTAGATCTTTTTTGTTTTTTTTCAGTATTGTTTTTGTTTTAGGCTTTATCTGGATAAGAGTTTTAGGTCTGTTACTTTCATCAATGGCTTTTTTTATATATATATATATATATATATATATATATATATATATAAAGGATCTAACACATGAAAATTTATCAAATGCATTAGTTATATATAAGTTTAACCACAACTTTGATTTTTGATACAACACTTATTAAAAGAGAAAGTAATTTACTTAGATGGAAAATTTTGAGTGCTGTTATCAAATCTTAACAAAATATAAATCTGCACCTTGGATTTTTTTTTTTTTCAAATATCTCCTTTCCTAAAAGAAATACTCTTTACTTGAGCCAGCATACAATGTTATAAAAATTTCTTAAAGTTGAAAGGAAACTTAAATTCAAAACCTTGCATTATTTAAAATATGTTTGACATAATTAATTTCTCAAACTAAAATAATATAGATAGTAATTAAATTATGAAAAAGAAATTCAACAATAACGTTTGCTCACATTTGCTAATTAGGCATTAAATTATAGCATCCGCCATAATTTAACTTAACTTTTAGTTAGCATGATGTATATTTATAAATCTTCTTAAGTTTAAAAAATTCTGAAAAACTAAGGATATTTTTTACTTAGGTTTATAAATCAGTCAATCTTTTAAATGCCATGGGGCACTCTCATCACTTTTGATTCATGACTAACTAGGTAGAAGATTTTCCTGTAGTAGGTTGTTATTTCTTTCAGTGGTAGACTGGGTGCCAACCAAGGCTATAGGACCCAGTCTGTTCTGCAATTTAACCTATAGCCATAGAAGTGTAGAAGAGATGGATTTATACCTTACTCAAGGGTATTTGCCCGTAAGTGAATATAACAAACCTGAGCAGAATTTGACCTCAACTTTGATTTCTCATTTTGAGACAATATTGATTCCACCACAATTCATATCCTGTTTACAAATACTTGATGCAAAATAAAATCTTCATATTTGCCTTGATAAACTCCATCAAAGGATGAAATGCATTGGCTGATGAAATCATATATATGATAAAAATATAGTTTTAAAGTATGTTATATTTACAGGTTAAAGTGCTCAATATCAAAGAGAGAGCATATGTAAATATAAAAGTGGCTATTGAGGTGAACACCCAGAGTCAACAATTTGTTTCATGCTTAAACACAATCATCAGGACATGTGTTGCTTTGGCTCAACTATTTATACATGCTGAGCAGTGATACATTATGGGCAAGTATATTGTGTTATACTAACATTTATGTCGTTGGCAGTGATGGTTATATTTTAAATTGTTCTAGGGGTTATTAAGTGGAAATATTTGGGGAGCCAAATGCAGTTTTGTGGCTATTTTTTTAGTGTTGTTAACTTTTTTACTCATTATTAATTTTGTTATTATTACATTGTTTTTTTTGTGTGTATTCGTAGTTTGTTAATTTGTATATTATATACTTATTTATTGATTTGGATTAATTTATTTTACTTATTTTTTATTTTTGTTCATTCTTAGCCTTTGCCATGGTAAATTTTTTCTAGAATTGTTCCTCCTTCATTTTTTTTTCTTTTTTTGAGGGTGCTAAAACAAACACCTAGTTATTATAACTTTCTTTGTATTGTGCACATAGATGTTAATTTTTGTACATTAATAAAAGAATGAATAATATTTTGATGTAATGCATTATGTTTTGCATGCATGCTTTGACGTTGAAAACAAACAAAACTGAAACAGAAAATAAAAAAATACATCAAAAGTACATAAATAATTCAATGCAAATTTAACTTTAATTATTCCTTGTGGAGTTTTGGAGGTGCAATAAGAAGCAAAATCACTCAGAAGGCTTTCATTTTATCAAAAAAGTGACATGTTTCCTTGTGTTATACATACAAGAAGACACTAGCATTTGTTTGCCCTTTCTTTCACTTGACTCATATTTATTTTTCTAGTTGATGAATAAAGTTATTATTTCATCATTTATAAATAGACAAAATAATTCACCTTCAGAAAGGCTATCAGGTATATCGATGGTTGCCAATAGCGTCCATAAAATTAGTCAAGCATAGATGATAGCCATTAGAGTAGCAAAGGGTGAGAATTCTATGGCGAGTATTGTTGCCTGCAGTGTGGTAAAGGTTAAATAACGTAAAAATTTGTTTTCATGTCTGCATCTTGAGATGAGTTCTCATCGTTTATTTAGTAGTTTGTGTTGGTCTGGGAAAGTAATTATAGATATTTTCTCCAGATAGACTTTACATTTTTTGGATTTATTGTTGTAGGCTGATGCTGTTTTCCATGATATTTTTGGTGTGATTTAGTTTTTGTTTTTAATTTCCCAGATATGTTTAGAAAGCATTGTGTTTGTCTATATTTCTGAGATCAGGTATTCTGTACATTATTTATATTATTCGGAATATTGTCCTCATCATTGTGCCATATGTGTTCTCAAGGACACATAGCACAGTGGATAAAAGCATTGGTTAGATCCAGTGACAGGACCCAAAGAGTGTGAGCTTGTGGTGATCACTTACATGTGCCACACTTCCGCTTTCTTTAATGTCATTGGTTCATAAATATATGATACTTATTATATGACAATTTTGCCATCGCATGTCATTTGAATTTTTCTCTAAAATCACGGATTGGTCCATTTCCTGACCAATCGCGTATTTTAGTATCTTTCTATATTTTTAGCGCCAAGCTCACTGGAGCCTATGAGTAATGATATAAACCCTCTCGCTGTTAGCCAACAGCCAGTAGCAGTTCAATTCTTGGAAAATAAGGCACGGTGCTACATTGACATTTTAATTCTTAATTATTACTAATTCGAGTAATCATACTAATTCTTATTGATATCACTCATGAACATTACATCTTTCTACACTGATAAAACACTGTGGAACTATTCTTTATTTAGCTAAGGTCTCAATTGAACTTTGTAGTTAAATAACATTCAATATTGTACTCAACATTAATTAGCTAAACTTACCCTTTTTATTACGGAAAAAGGGAAGCAACTTTCTTTATACTATTGTTAATATTTGTATATCATTGTTAATACAATATTTTATTAATGTTCCCTGTGCTTGATTATTTTTCTCTTGTGTTTGTTGTGCATTATTCATGTCGGGTGTTGTTTTACAAGAACACAGCTTTCCTTCTTAATTATATTCACGGTGACCCTAGCCAACAATTCTTACAGCACTACTACAAGTTCAATACCCAGTTGAAGCAGTGGAGAACTTTCAGAGGGAAATTAACAGGAGAGAACTGATAACTGAACTAGAACAGTCTACCCCAGTGAGCGAAATAAAGGGCTAAGTTCGACATTCCAACCACCTGAAGAAGGCTGGAGCGTACAATGGCCGAAATGTAATAAATATGGCGACAAAGATGAGGACAATATATAATAATGTAAATAATGAAGCATTGTGTTGTTGCATATTTACTATTTGTAAAGGGTGTTTTGAGTGTGTAGTTTCTTTGTTACCAGGGTCCTTCAGTTACTCTTACGTGTATTTTTTCTTCATTATCTGCTGATTTTACAGTGACTTGGTATATTACATTTTTCTGTAAGCAATTTCTGTTTAAGGGACATTCATTCTTTGCTCTGCAGTTACATGCAGGTGATTTGTTAGTTCTTTTTCTGTTGTGCTTTTTTGATTATTTGTATCATTCTCGGTGCAACTGTAGCTGGTTTTTACTTGTGTTTTTTAATATCTTATAGAGAATTTCAGATGGGAAGAAGTGTTTGTGGGTGAGGTTAATGAATATTTTTCTTAGATTTGTTTTTATATTTTTTTTGTTGTATGGTAGATTGAACCATATGATATTTCTCTTCCTTTTGGCATTTTTTGTGATGTGTATGTGAGTGTTGCCAAAAATCCACTATTTTTTAGGGCTGTTTCATAATCTTTCTTGGTTTCATTGAAGATGGTTTCACTGGAAGAATTGTCAGACAACCTGTAGTTAACTGATTATTGGATCTGCTTGATTATTGATGGTGGGTGGTTTGAAGATGTATGTATATAAAGTGGTTTATCATTAGGTTTTCTATATGGTTGATGTGTACCTTTTCTTCAGTTGAGTGTGACATGAAGAAAGTCTACTTCTTTCAGGTTAGTTTTATGTCTGTTGAATCCAATATTTTAAAAGTTTTATCATTATTTTTCTTGTTTTGTCTGTTTTTATTTGTTAGTTTCTTAAGATTATGAGACTGATATCATTTTTATCAATTATCAGGTCATCCCATACGTTCTATCCGAATTTTAACTTTTGGTTAAAATGAACGAAATTTAAAGAGTATTTTATAGTGTCTAATGGAGCTGAACATTATTTTTATGTTTAGACGCATTTAAACTTATCAAATTTTATTTCAGAGAACAATAAAATTAAATTATGTTTGATTAAAACCCTGCTAACATGGAAGTACCCAAAAATCATTTGAGGCACATAATGCTTTATGAGTTCAATAAAGGAAACTCAGCAGCCAAAGCGGCTAGAAACATTCACTCAGTTTATAGAGAGGAATGTGTGAATGAAAGAACTTGCAGAAGATGGTTTGCAAAATTCAGAGGTGGAGATTTCACCCTTGAAGATGAAGATTGAACCGGATGTCCAGTTAAGTTTGAAGCAGCCCTTGAAGAAAATCCTGCTTTATCAGTTGAGGAATTGGCAGTAATTCTCAGTTCAAACCATACAACTGTTCATCATCATCTTCAAAAGCTTGGAAAAGTTCCTAAACTTGGAAAATGGGTGACTCATTAATTGTCTGAAGACAACCTCAAATCCCAAGTTGACATCTGCTCTTCTCTTCATTCTCGCCAACTTGTTTCACCTTTTTTGGATAGACTTGTGACTGGCAACGAAAAATGGATCTTTTATTGAAATGTTAAGCATCTTAGACAGTGGCTAGGTAAAGGGGAAGGACCCCAGCCACAGCTGAGAAGGGAACTTCATGGGAAAAAGGTTCTTCTTTCAATCTGGTGGGATCGCCAAGGAATAATCCACTTTGAATTCTTACCACCTAATGCAACAATTAATGCTCAAATATACTGTCAGCAATTAGAGCATTTGAACCAAGCTTTGAGGAAAAAAAAACCTGCTCTAGTGAATTGAAAAGGGGTGATGTTTCATCAGGACAATGCACGACCCCACACAGCAAGAATCACGTCACAAAAGATTGAAGAACTTGGTTGGGAGAAAATTCCTCATCCACCTTATTCTCCCGATCTTGCTCCTTCAGACTACCATTTGTTTCGTAGCTTACAGAATCATTTGGAAGAAACAGCT